GAGGGGGAGGGGGGAGGGGGAGAGGAGGGAGGGAAGGGCAGAAGGTGGAGCCTCCAGCGCTTTCCTTCATCCCCAACACTCAGGCCCCCCCAGCCCGCTCCCTGCCCGGCTGCCCAGGCCCGTCTTGCTTGGGCTTAGCTTGGGCTTAGGAGTGGGAGTGGGGCTGGTGAGGCCGGGGAAGGAAGCGATGCCGCGGCCGGGTCAGAACCTGCGGTGGGGCGAAGGTGGGCCCAGGGGGACCCCACCCCTGCCTCAGGTGGCAGGAGGGCAGTTGGCAGGGGACTGGGAGACATGTGAAGTCGGGGAGGTCCTGCGGGCCTGTGCGCGGCCTGGCCTGGCCTACTTCATTTAGGAAATCCTGTTGAGTGCCTACTGTGTGCCAGGCACTGCGGCCCAGCCTGCCTCGCTCTGCCTCCCACCGCCTCTCAGGCTGCCCTCTCCGCCCAACCTGTACAGCAAGAGAGTGCTCTCAGGGTGCCTCATGCCCATCCAGATGCTCTGGCTCGATCCTGGCACCGTATCTCCAGACACCCAGTGGACGCAAGGGCTGGGCTGGCTCAAGGTGGAGACACAAGACTAAAGTTCCCCGGAGGCTGCGGTGGGACTGGGGTGGGGTCCTCTCCCTGCTTCCTGGGACCCAGCTCCCTCCACACTTGGGCTCACCCTCTCTTGGGAGAGGGCAGCGAGTCCCAGGCCTGGTGGTCATGAAGCCCACCACTCCCCCGTCCTGAGAAGGGGCAGGGTCGCCCTGCCTCGGACTTCCCTGCTCTCTGCCCACCTCTACCCCGCCTTTTCCTTTTCTGCCCATCATCCCATGGCTCCTTTGACTCCTCTTTCCTAGGCCTCTGCTCCAAAGGTCATAGCCCCTTTCTCTTCTCAACTGAAGGCAGCCTCTCTCTGGTGGTGAGGCAGAGGTGTGGGGTGTGTGGAGGGGCAGACAGAGCCTGGGCCGTGTTGGCGATCTTGCCTGGTTCTGAGTTCCTCAGCAGCGGGGCAAGACCCCAGGCCACCCCACGGGGTCCTGTCTGGAGTGGGCTGGAAAGGGGGTCTGGAGAGGCAAGTTCTGGTGCTTGGGGAGGGCCAAGGGGATGGAGGGGGTGGGTGATGGGACACAATGAGGTAGTCACACGAGGCAAAGGCATGTTGGGGGTGGGGGGAGCGGACATTGGAACACACACACACACACACATGCTCACACACACACAACCGGCCAGACAATCGGGCCAGTGTGTCTGGGGCCTCGGAGCCCAGTGAATTAGGAGTTTGATAAGGGTTTTCTCTTTCTCTCGCTTGCCGGCCTTGGACAATCTCCCCCCAGTTTTCCTCGACGCCACCCCCGGCGCTGCCAACCCTCCTCCCCCCCCGCCTCCCTTCTCTTCCCTGTGCCCAGACTCTTGTTCGGGGCCTTGAAACAGTGAGCTGTCTTTGTTCGAAATACAGGTGAACGGCAATCATGTGATTAACACACACACACATAAAAAGCTTTTTAACAGCGCCCGCCCGGCCTCAGAACCGCCCGGATAGGAGCCGCCCTGGATGGACAGAGGGACGAGGGACGAGGGACGAGCATCCAGCCAGTCGTGTCCTGGCTGCCCTGCAGCCGTCTCCAACACCCGCTGCTGCCCGCTCGCTGCCCGCCTGCCTGGCATCTCTTCTCGGTGGGTCCCCATTCATCCTTCCACCCCTTGGTTCTCCTCTTCAAGGAAAGGACCTCCCTGCTCTCTGCTGTGTCTGTGACTGGCCTGAGACCACCTGGGGCAGGAGGGGTGGCTGTGGAGGGAGAGGGCCCAGGGCTGGGAAGGAGGGAGAGGGGTCCTGCGGCCGCCCCTTCTCGAACTCCCTGCCTCCGCCCTTTCCCTCCTTGGCCCAGCTGTGCCAGGGCGGGGGTGGGGGTAGCAGTGGGCACACTTGGTCTGCAGAGAAGCCACGATAGACAGAGGGGGTGCCCCCCCTTTTGACCCTGCGCAGACACCGCCTTCTCCTCAGTGCTGTGCCGGGCTTTCTGCTGAGAGGTGCTGGGTGAGGCAGGTGGGCCTGCAGGGGTGTTGGGAGGAGGGTCAGATGACTACAGCTGTGTGTGTGGTGGGGGGCCCTGCTGTGAACACATTCCTGCCTGCTGTGCTGGCAACCGGGATCCCCTCCATCCTGTCCCAGGCCCTGGGGACCGGGTTTTCTTCCGCAGGGTAGGGTGAAGGCCCCACATTCATCCCCGGAGAGGAGGGAGTTTGGAGACGGGGGAGGGATCCTGGCTGAAGTACCTGGGCTTCTGCCCCTGGCAGGATGGCTAGGAGGGCCAGGGCCCCCCTCTGCTTCTTTCCCTGCTTGCAGCGGAAGGGTCCCTGTCCCCTTTGTTCCTGATCCTTCCCCAGTGATGCTCGTGATGCCTTGATCCCACCCCTCAATCAAATGTGTCCTGAAGTGAGGGGTTGTTCGCATCCATGGTGAGGTGTGGTGTCTGGGGAGCTCTGTGGCCTGCCCACTCTCCGGGGCGTTTACTCCGGAGCAGAGAGGGGCTCAAGGTCTGAGTGTCATGGTAGAAATTCAGGCTTCCTTGCAAAGGAGGAGACCTTCCTGGAGCAACAGGGTTTTCCTGGGATCAATCTGGGTTTCTTTAAGGCTGGGCCCTGATTTACACAGAAGACAGGGCCCCTGAGAGGAAGAGAGGAAGGGAAAATGTGTCAGTAAAATGTGAAGCCCACTGATGACACTGCCTGGCAGAGCCATGACTCTTAACCTCCCAGCTCCCGAGTTGTCTTCCTTAGGTAGCTGGTCCAGTTTTGTGGGAGGCACCATCTGTGGTCCCCCTTTCCCCCAGGACCCTGGTCCCATCCACCACGCAGGGCGATGATTACCCTCCCTTCCTGCCTGCCCCTCAGGACACACTGAAATGAAGATTAGGAAATCTGCTGCTCACAGAGCCAGGGCTATTGAGGGGTGAGGGATGAATCTGGTCAAGTTGCCTCTGCCCCAGCCTCAGTTTCCCCACATGGCATGACTTCCTCAGAGGACAGGGCTGAGATGGGATGAGCATTTATCACCACCTCTAAGCACTGTGTGGATGCAACTTGGGGAGTCCCGGCTATCTTCTCACTAGTTCTCTCAGGCTTGTGCCCCCTCCTTCCTCCAGTGGCCCTGAGGGGCCTTCACAAGGGGCGGACTTGTGGAGACCCAGGTTGGTCTGGGGCGGTGCTTCTCAAAGGTGAAGCTGTACATGAGCTCCTCATGTCTGGCTGGGGCCTGAGTCTGCATTTCTAATGAACTCTCAGGCAATTGCCTAGGATTGGTTCTAATTTTTGCTGCCTCTTAGAATCACCTGTGGAATTAAAAAAAAAAATTGAAAGCCCAGATTTCACATCAGAAAGTTAATTCTGAATTTGTGGAGATGAGGTGCAGACATGAGGTTCCCTGGGAGGACTTGCTCTCCCCCACAGGGGTCTCTGGGATGCTGAGGCTGTGAATGGGGCCCCATCAGAGCCAAAAACACCGAGGAACGAAGGGGTTTGGGTTCTGGACCTCAGAGCTAGAGGCTAGACTGATGGTTATACTGGGGTGTCCAGGGAGCTTTGGATGTGGCGGGGAGGGCCTGTGCACTGGGGAGGGGAAAAGCCGAGGAGCACTGGTTAAGGGTTGAGGGTAGAGTAGTGACAGACACAGAGGCCACTCTGTGGGCTTCAGCTGAGATTGGGTAAGTGTACTGGGGTGTGTGGGAGCCCTCCAAGCAATTTCTAGGCCACTCTCACCTGTGGCCAAGGCTGAGCTGTAGTGGGAAGTGACTTGGAATCAAGAAACTCCGCCATTAGCACTCAAGTGGCCTTGGACAGATTATGCTATTAACCTCTCAGGACTTGTTTTTTATGTGTATAAAATGTTGATGATTTTATATACCCACTACATCCCCAAGTGGGTGAGAGAATTAAGGAATATACACAGGCTCCTAGCATAGTGACTGCTGAATAAATGTTAATCAGAGAAAAGAATGTAGGTGTTAGGCCAGTGCTGGGAGGGGTGGAGGGTGCTCCCCTCAGGTGGAGTACACGCACTCAGTGAGCAGCCACTGTGGTCTCACCCTCAGGAGCTTCTCATCTGCCTATGGATCTCAGCCCCAGGCCAGGGTGGTTGGACAAGCTCCTCCCTCATGGGTGGGCCTTCCCTTGCTGTGCCTCTTCACAAGGAGATACTTCCAGGGCCTCCTCTAGGTCCCAGCTCAGCTCTGGGGGTTCCTGTCATTTGATTCCATCCTCTCAACAACCTTATGGGTAGGTGCTATTATTATTTTCATTATAGGAAGAAAACTGAGGTGCAAAATGATTCAGCAGTGATTCTCAACTCACCCAACTAAGATGGCGGGTGTGGACCGGGACCCATAGTTTGCCTCCGAGCCCAACCCTGGACCACTCTGCTCTGCTGACCCTCGACCCCAGGCGCCTGTTCCCTCCTCCTCATCTCCCACTGGGCCTTTTGCTTGCTCTGGGCTCCCCTGGAGTGCTGTCACTCTCTCTGGGCCTGCTGGCAGCGTGGTCAAGGCTTGTAGCCCAGTGAGAGGGCCTTTTCAGGGACATGCTCCTGGGCACCTTGGTTGGAATACTTCTCTGTTACTTTCTGGTGGAGGGGGAGACACCTTTGGATATGCCTCTCCTCCTCACCACACAGCCCGGCATAAGGCCAGTCTCCACCTCAGCATATCTTCCCTGAGTTGAGTTGCTGTCAGAGTTCCAAGGAGGAAAAGACTGGGGAGGTTGGAGTGGACAGAGGTGGCTTCCTGGAGGCAGAGGGCCTGAGCTCAGGGGGAGGAGGACGGCATTCCAGGGCTTGTCTTAACAGGGGCTCTCCCTGCTCCTGGTTTCTCATCCAAGCTGAGGGTCCCGGACTCAGGCCAGGAATTCAGCTCCCGGGCCTGAATCTTCCCCCCCTCCCAACTCCGTCCTCTCCGGGAACAAGGAAGCTGGGGTGAGTGCCCAGTGCTGCCTCGGGCAGCCCAGTCTCTGCCCTCTTCTTAGAAGCCTTCAGAGAAGGATACTGCCTGTTCCTGTCATCCAGACCCAGCTGCTGGAATGCCCTTCCTGGTGTCTTCCCTGAGACATTACAGGTGTATGCCACCATGCCAGGCTCTAACTCTAGGTTTGAAGCCTGGTACCCCCATTTATTAGCTGTGTGTCTTTGGCAAATAACTTAAGATTTTCGAGTCTCAGTTTCTTTCTAGGTTGTGGTGAAGATCAGACCAGATAATGTATGTTAACATTTAGGGCAGCGAGCAGGGCTCGGTGGCTCAGCCTGTAATCCCGCACCTTTGAGAGGATGAGGTGAGTAGATTGCCTGAGCCCGCGGGTTCAAGACCCGCCTGGGCAGGCAAGACCTCATCTCTACAATAAATCAAAAAATTAGCCGGGCGTGGTAGCGCATGCCTGTATTTCCGGCTACTTGGAAGGCTGAGGCAGAAGGATCGCTGGAGCCCAGCAGGTTGAGGCTACGGTGGCCAGTAGTGGCCACTGCACTCCAGTCTGGGTGACAGAGTGAGACTCCAACTCAAAAAAACCCCAAAAAACATTTAGGGCAGTGCCTGGCACATGATATGAACTTTTGTGAATGTACCCTCTGTGCAGGGAACTGAGATAGAGACCAAACCCTGGCTCTGAAGAGCTTAGGGCTTGATGGAAGAGACCTCCAAGGAAGCCTGGAGCCTGGTACAGATGAACAGGCGGCTGGAGTGGGGCCCTGGGAGCCCCAAGGGCTAGAATCAAGTCTCCAAGGCTGTGGAGGCCCTGTGTTGCCTTGGCAGCCTTCTTCCCTCTCTGGGCCTCAGTTTCCCCAACTGTAAAATGAGGGGCAGGCTAGATTATCTCCAAGGGTGTTTCCATATTTTATAACCCATGAATTACATTTCAAAACAAGTGGCCAGTGCCTGACCCGGTATTTCCAAGGTGGTGTCTCAGACCCTTAGTGTTCCTCAAGACATCCACAGAGATCTCTTGAAAGACGGTTTTGTGGGCAAGCACTTTTGGGAAACACTGCCTTTTACTTTCTCTTTTTCTTTTTTTTTTTTTGAGTTGAAGTCTCACTCTGTTGCCCAGACTGGAGTGCAGTGGCACACTCCCGGCCACCACAGCCTCGACCTGCTGGGCTCCAGTGATCCTTCTGTCTCAGCCTTCCAAGTAGCTGGAACTACAGGCGTGTGCTACCACGCCCGGCTAATTTTTTTGATTTATTGTAGAGATGAGGTCTCGCCAAGTTGCCCAGGCGGGTCTTGAACCCGTGGGCTCAGGCAGTCCACTCACCTCAGCCTCCCAAAGCACGGGATTACAGGCTGAACCACCGAGCCTGGCCTCTTATTCTTTTTATTTTATCTTGGAGATAGTGTCTCGCTCTGTTGCTCAGGCTGGAGTTCAGTGGTGTGATCCCAGTTCACTGGCGTGATCCCAGTGCACTGCACTTTACCTCCTGGACTCAAGTGACCCTCCTATCTCAGCTTCCTGAGTAACTGGAACTACAGGCTCATGGCACCACAATTGGCTAATTTGTATTTTTTGTGGAGATGAAGTCTCACTATACTTCCCAGGCTAGTTTTGAATTCTTATAGCAATCCTCTCACCCCAGCCTCCCAAAGTGCTGGGATTACAGGTGTGAACCACTGCACCAGGCCTCAACTTTCTCTTTTTTAGAGATGCAGAGCCTGTTAGCATGTTAAAAGTTTTAAGTTCCACAGTCAAGAATGTTGCCTGGGGTAGACTTGGAGGCACCATGGCCCCTAATGAGACATGCACGTTCCTTACACTGGGGTCACCCTACCTTCATCCCTAGCTCCATTCAGTCCTGTTTGACATTTCCCGATGACTCTCAGCATCAGGCCTGGGAAAGGGACTGGGCTGAATGAAAGGCAAGCCCTGTCCCACAGGTTCCTGTGTCCCTTATACTTTCAGAGTGAGTCTTCACCTTCCTGCAT